TTGAACTGTTTATTACACAATCAACAGCAAATATTTCAAAATCTTCATCACGTCTACGCACATCCTTATGAAATACCCGGTATTCGTCACTTATTTTCTCTTTTATTTCCTCAATTATAAATATCGCCGCAGGCGGTCCGTTTAAGGAAACAGTATAAATTAAGAAAGGGACCGGGGGATGGAAAAAGTTAATTTTCTAATTAAAGCTGTTTAAACCTCAATTACCTTTTTTCTTTGCTGCGTAAATAATGAATACTTCAAAGCGCGGTCCATATTAATTAAGCTTTTTCTGATTATTTATGTATTTATTGAGGCACAAGAGCAAAGCCCACTTTAATGAAGCTGGAAAACGAACGAATAAGCGATGATGGCAAATTATTGATAAATAATGTTGCTGAAACCTGGACGTTGCGCTTAAAGGACCGAAACAATTGAAGTTAATGATACATACATGGTGTCCCTACAAGGCCCCAGAAAAAAAAATAACGAGAAAATAAGAAGAAGAAAAACTGCTAAGAATTGGACCCGAATCAAAAACAAATGCGACAACATGGAATGGATTCAATCACCTAATTGGCACCTTTCAGTGCAGGGTCAAGTGTAACTAATTTATTGATATGCGAATTTATCATTATTGAGGTGGAATGCTTATGGGCTCAGTTCGAACAATGCTGCAAAACACGACTTAAACCCGAACAAATCGCGCTTTGAATTTTAATCGTCACCACTCCCATTACGAGATTTAATCGCACCTTGCTTCATAGCATTTCTATTAATTGCTTTATGTACAGTTTTGCGCTCAGAACAGTATAAACATAATTGGGAATTGAGACCTCGATTGCTCAATGCCTACAATAGAAATTTTACTCTTCAGGCCTCTTAGCTGCTGAAGCAATAAGTAGTTTTGTGTTGTCTTTGTTTTTCTTTTCATTTTTGCTGACACAAATAATGTAAACCCTAATGTAACTCTTACTGACCCTGGTGGACTTTTTTCAAAAACTCACTTTTATAGAAATTTTATGGAAGTTTTCAGGATTTTTTTAGTTACTAAGCCCAGCCGACTGATCGTTGGTAAATATGAGATTTTGAAAAAATCGTGTGAAGAAAGAACGAAAAATTGCTGAATGCGGCCCTTAACATCACTCGAAAGAGAAAATAGGCTGCTTTAAGTGAGGAAAAACTCCCTTGATTAGGAAATTTATGGGAGTTTCCAGGATGTTTTCAGTTAA